CCATCCCAGTCGCTCTGACGCCCCCCTCCCTCCCAACCCCTGTCCCGCTCGCACTCTCGGCCCCCCGTATCCCCATCCCCCTCCCCTCCCCGCCCCAACGCAGAAGGGAGCGGGGGCCTGCGATTTTGAGTGAGGGCCCCTGCGCTTCAGACCGGGGCCTGCTCAAAGAAGACGCGCTTCGTCTTTGTTGAAGAGGCCCCGAGCCTGTGACGACGAGGAGGAGGGGGCCTGACGCCCCTCCTCCTCCTCCTCCTCCTCCTCCTCCTCCTCCTCCTCCTCCTCGCGGCCGCTGTCGCGAACACCGGGGGAAGACCAGCCCCAGAGACGTCCGCAGCGCCAGCTCGCGACGAGGGGCCCCGAGGCGCGGCCGCCGCAGCGGGCGGCCCCGGGGGGGGGGCGGGGCGGCCGGCGGCCCCGGGTGGGAGCGGGGCGGCGGGCGGCCCGCAGCTCGCGCGCCCGCGGCCCAGGAGCGCCCGTGGAGGCCAGTGGCAGGCCGCCAGCCGCGGAACTCTGAGCGGCCCGGCCAGGGGGTGCGCGGGAAGGCTGTCCTCTTGCCGTGCCTCTGCCTCCCCCTCCTCCTCCCCCTCCTTCCCCTCCCCATTCTCCTCCATGCCTCCTCCTCCCCCTCCTCCTCCTCCTCCTCCTCATCCTCCTCCTCCTCCTTCCCCCCCCTTCTCCTTCTCCCTCCTCCACCTCCTCCTCCTCCTCCCCTCCTCCTCCTCCTCCTCCTCCTCCTCCTCCTCCTCCCCCTCCCCCTCCCCTCCCCCTCCTCCTCCTCCTCCTCCTCCTCCTCCTCCTCCTCCTCCTCCTCTCCCTCCTCCTCCTCCTCCTCCTCCTCCCTCTTCTCCTCCTCACCCCCCTCCTCCTCCCTCCCTCCCTCCCCCCTTTCTGCTCCCTTCTCCGCATCATGTCTGCATGTTGTCCACAGCCCCCGCCCCCTTTTCCCGATCGTCCTCCTGGCCCTCTCTTCCCCGCTCTCCCCCTGCCCCCTTCCCCCCCCCCCTATCACCCCTTCCTTCTCTTCCCCCCCCCCTCTGCCTCCTCTCCCCCATTGCCTCTCCCCGCCCTGGCATCCCTGGCGCGCCTCCGCACAGAGACTCCGCGCCCCGAACGGCATCGCGCTCGTGGGCGCGCCGCGCGCCGCTCAGTCGCGCCGTCCATTGTCTGTTTCCCCCCCCGTCCCCCCTCCCTGCCTCCTCCCCCCCTCCCTCCACCTTTTCGATCCCTCCTCCTCCTCCTCCTCCTCCTCCTCCTCCCCTCCTCCTCCCCCTCCTCCTCCTCCTCCTCCTCCTCCTCCTCCTCCTTATCCCCCTCCTCCTTCTCCTCCTCCCCCTCCCTCTCGTACGCAGATACGTCTCAAGTAATCATTCTAGGTGATCTTCCTCCTTCCTCTCGCGCCCCCCCTCCTTCTGCACGTCCCCTCCTTTCTTGAAGCGTTGCCCATGTTCCACCCCACCTCCGACTCCTCTTTATCCCTCGCTCTTCATTTTCTCCCGTCATCGTTTTATTTAATATTTCTTATTAGTATGTTAATATTCTTATTATGTTTATTATGATTCGCCTTATTATGCTTAGTATTCATATTCTTCTTAGTCGTATTGTTATTGTTCTTCTTTTCCACATCTTCCTCCATCTCCCCACCATCCTTCTCCAATGTCCTCCGTATCAGTGTGTGCTAAGGTTGTTTGCTTTAGGGGGCTCCCAGCATCACGGCAGAACTAGACATCTCTGATCCGTGGTCGACTCCTCCGCTCTTTCCAAGGTGCGATCCCGCGAGGACGTGGCGGTCAATCCCCCCTCCCAGTTCGTTCTCTCGTGCAGAGTTCCTCCTCGCCTCCCCGTTAATCCCCCATTGTGCCATCGCTCCTCACTGCCGTTACTGGCATGGCCTGCGCATGGCAATCTGCCTCCGTGACCCTGGATGAGCTTTTAGGCCGTCCCGTCAGACGCCAGGAGAATGCTGCTCCAGAGGAGCTGATCGCCGTGCCTTCGATGGCCGACGAGCGCCCCCTCCCCCCCTTCTGGTCGATGCAGCAGGCGGTCGCGCATTACGGCGGCGGCGTTGGATAAGGAACGTCCCTCCTGGGACCCAGGCCCTGGCGCATTCCTTCTTACTCAAGGGCTCCCTCGAGGGCGCGAAGTTATTCGCGCTTCGCGCTTCGCGGTCCTCGTTCCTTCTCCCCCTCCTCCTCGTCCTCCTATTCTCCCTTTGGGAGGGCGGCGCGAGAGCGCGAAGTTATTCGCGCTTCGCGCAGCGCGAAGCGCGAAGTTGGGAGCCCTAGCTAACTTACTTCAAGGCGAGGTGGCTGGCCGACGTGTGGCCGCCCATCGGTCGAGACCCTGAAGAGTTGCGAGGGTCGGGCGGGGCGCACGCAGCGCGCGAACTGCTCCCGAAAGCCGCGCCTCACGCCCGAGCGAGTTGCGTATTGGCTGGCTCTTCAAATGCCGCCAGGGAGGGGCTCCACGCGCGAGATCGCAACATCCCGCCCTGTCCTCCGCGCCGCGCAGAGTTTGCACGAAGAGTGGCCTTCGCGCTCGGCGTGTCGGCGCGCTGCCTTCGCTGGTCCTTTCGTAAACCGGGCCGCTCGCGGCGCGGCCGAACGTTGCCATTTCTTGCCTGGGCGGGCTCTCTGAAAGTTCCGCTCTGGCTTGGACCGTGCGCCGCCTGGGGGATCGATCCTCGGGGGCCCTGGCGTCGCAGGCGATTTCTCTCCCCCAATCCCCGACTTCCGCCAGAAAAGTTTGGTCGCTCAGAAAAGGGGAGGAATCTTGGGATACATCCCGAGGGGGCTATTCGGACGCACCCCTGTTGAGGATGGACGCCCCCCCCTCGTATATCCCAGGGTTGGGCCCCAAATTGTTGATCCTCTCGAAAACCTCACGGAGCCTGGGATAGGGGTCGACGCATCCCCTGTTATGGCGCGCGGTGGAATCTCTCGGGCCTCGGGCTGTGGTGATGGACAAACCGCCGCCTCGCACCCTTCTCGTGCCCTGTCCCCACCAGTTCTGATGGGCTTGTTTTCCACCACCACCACCATAAGTTGGAGGGGGGAAGGAGGTGGAGGACGAGGTGGAGGACGAGGAGGAGGACGAGGACGAGGAGGAGGAGGACCCTCTCCCCCTCCAACTTACGGTGGTGGTGGTGGAAAACAGGCCCACCAAGTTCTGTCCTTTCGGCGGCGCGGCAAGTGGGGAAGAGTGAGGAGGGCGGCCTTTTGCTGAGAAGCCAGAGGGTAGAGGGGCTTCGCTGACGCCCGCCCGTTTTTTTTATATTTATATATATATATATATATATATATATATATATATATATATATGTCGGCGGTGCCCGGTGCGGAGCGAACCCCCCCCCCGGTAATCTCTCCTGGGGGGGTTCGAGCTGGCGCCATTCCCGGTGCGAGCCTGCACGAACCCCCCCGGTAAACACGACCTCCTCTGGTAGGCTGCACGAACCCCCCCGGTAAGGACGCAACCCCTCCGTAAGCGGCGCGCTCCCGGCACGCGCGAACCCCAGCCCCGACGCGCGAATCTTACCAGGACGGGCCGGAACACGGCGGCGGCATTGCATCGCGGGCGATGTTTCTCCCCCAATCCCCGAGTTTCGCCCGAAAAGTCTGGCCGCTCAGAAGAATGGGAAAACCCTGGGATACACCCCAAGGGGGCTATTCGGACGCACCCCTATCGAGAATGGACACCCCCCCATCGTATATCCCAGGGTTAGGCCCCAAATTTCTGGTCCATTCGGAACCCCCACGAAGCCTGGGATAGGGGTCGACATACCCCCTGTTATTGCATCCCAGGGCCGTGCCGGAACACGGCGGCACTGCTCTTCTCTACGCGGCCGTGCCGTCGACCCCCCACAGCGGCTCTTGGGAGTTGCGCCGCAGCCTCTCGTATTGTGGCCACGAGCCCAGCAGTGCGAACAACAGGAATGCCAGTTCCTCCTCCTGCTCGTCGAGGCGAAAGTCGACAGAGGAGGAGGAAGGAAGAAAGGCGAGGCGAAGCAAACAAAGGCGAGCAGACGCGAATAGAGAACACAAGGCGAGCACACGCCACACTTCGACAGGGAGCCACCCTTCCCAACCGCCCCCCTGCCCCCCCCCCCCAACCCACCCCCCACTCCCACCCCCCCACTCCCACAGGGGGGGGGGGGAACCCAGGTAGACGCAGTGCGGCCTGCACGACCCCCCCGGTAAAGCGACAGGGGAGGACCCAATGCGGCCTGCACGAACCCCCCCGGTAAAGCGGCAAGAGGGGGGTGTTCTAAGCCGCTGGCGGCACCCGGTGCGGGCTGCACGAAACCCCCCGGTAGTGCACGAATCCCCCCGGTAGTGCTGGGGGGGGGGGTTCGTGCCACGGCGCACCGCCGACATATATATATATATATATATATATATATATATATATATGGAACCCCCAGAGGTTTCCGAGAAGCCTTTTCGGCCTCGTCTGCCCGAAAGAATACCCACATTTGCGTCTCTCATTGTGCGGATTCGACGCGGATCCGACGTGGGTTCGACGCGGATGCGACGAGCCCGACATGGATTCGACTCGGATGCGGCGCGAACGTGGTCGCGATTGGACAGATTAGGTTTAAGTCGGGCCCGTCCCTCTACAGGAGGAATCTTCAAAAATAAAAGAAACTAGTCTGGGGACGATTTTTGGATTATTGTTCGATTAGTTTTGGTGTATTGTTTGACTATTTCTTATCTTTCGCCCAAAATCCGCCTGTAGGAGGACATGCCCGACCTGAGACTAAGGAAACTGGAGCATATACATCACCAGTGGCGGGCTGTTTTTCAGTCCCAGGACTTTCTTGAGGGTCGGGGACGACGACGGGGTGGTGTGGAGTATATTTTTGTCCTTGCTTCCCCGGGGAAACGACGAAAACTGTATACACCAGGATCCCGTATACACCAGGATCCGCCTTCTCGTGCGAATTCCAGTGCGGGGCCGTAGGAAACGTCGGTGGATAGAGTCCGGTCCCTTAGCAGGAGGACATGCCCAACCTAAGACTAGGCCCCCCGAAGATCTTAGTTGCCTCGATACGCCCGTCTTGGAACGCAACACGTCCCGTGTTCAAGACCTCCGTGTCAATATACGTTGCGTGTTGGCTCCGCGTGTTGGCCCGCGTTTTGGCAAACGTACCGCGTCGGGCCTACGTTTTCAGTCCACGCGTCGAGCTCCGTCTCGGTACGACGCCACGCGTCGCGTGTTGCGCATCGGGGCAGCTGAGTCTTGGAGGGTGGGGGAATCACCGCCCACGAAACCACCCCCACCCGACCCGCACGCCCCAATTTTTGTGCTCCGCTCCCGCGCGGTGGCGTGTTGGGCTCCGTATACCGACACGCTGCGCGTCGCGTGTTGCGCACCGGGGCAGCGCAGCCGAGGACGACGGCCGGGCTCCGGCCGACGGCCCGCGCGGCGCCGGCACGCCGCAGGCTCGGCGCGCCGGGGGGGCGGCGGCCGGGCTCCGGGCCATGGGCTCGCAGGAGGCGCCCTGCACGGGTGCCCCAGGCGTGCGGGTGGCCTCCCCCGCCTCCTCCTCCTCCTCCTCCTCCTCCTCCTCCTCCTCCTCCCCCTCCTCCCCCTCCTCTCCTCCTCCTCCTCCTCCTCCTCCTCCTCCTCCCTCCTCCTCCTCCTCCTCCTCCTCCTCCTCTCCTCCTCCTCCTCCGCCCCATCCTCCTCGTCTGCCTCTTCCGCCTCCTCCTCCTCCTCCTCCTCTTCCTCCTCCTCCTCCTCCTCCGCCGCCTCCTCCGCTCCGCCTCCTCCTCCTCCACCTCCTCCTTCTCCTCCTCCTTCTCTCCGTAGCCAGTTTGACTCAAGTTTGAGCCGATGGCCCTGCGGCTTGACATTGACTGCAGAGCCAAAGGTTCTGGCCCGAGGCACCCTGCCCGCAGGACTTCACCCTCTTCTCGCACGCTCCCTGCAGGAAGGTCGCCCGACCACTCCAGGCTTTCCCCTCAGTTATCCTTCGAGTCGCCGCAGTTGCTCGTGATCGTTTTTTATTCCTTATTTTGCCGATCGGCGCGGGCCCTCGCACTCCTCCCCCCCCCCCATGGAGTAGATCCTGGCTGCTTTTGGCGCTTGTTTCGAGCAGGAGGAGTCTTCCCGATGGGACGCACTGCTGCAAACAGTCGCATCAAGCAGAGGTCCGGAGCCAGACCCCCCCCTTCCCCACCCTCCCGCCCAATGTCGAAACGCCGAACAAGAAAACACTCACCTCCCACTCCACGCGGGATGTCGGCGCGACTGGCCGCAAGGCCGACAGGAGGGACGAACGGGCACGGCCAGATTCTAGGAGCCCCAGCCGTGCACGTGAGTCGTCGGCTATGCGTTGAATCCTACGCCGGGGCGCTCGCAGACGAGGGGCTCCTGCCTTACACCTACGCTTCAGTCGTGCATGTCCCTCTACAGGAGGAATATTCAGAAATAGTCAAAAATAGTCTGGTGACTTTTTTGAGTTTTTGCTTGAGCATGTTCAAACTATGTTTTGATTATGTTTGCATGCAACATCCGCCTGTAGGAGGACACGTCCGACCTAATCCTACGCCGAGGCGCATGCAAACGAGGAGCTCCTGCCTCAAACACTTCGGCGTGGGCGTCCTGAGCCTGACCGCCCCCGGCAGACGCGAACTTCATGATGGCAGTGATCACCATACTCACAGAAGCCGTACGCAGAATATGGAGAGTCGAAATTCTTCCTCGGGCAGCGCTGCCGTTCGTCCCCCTACCTTTAAGTCGGGCATGCCCCTCGACAGGAGGAAAATTCAAAAATAGTCAAAACATAGCCTGGGGACGATTTGTTAACAATTTCAAATTGTTCTGCGAATGCTGGTGGTATGTTTGATTGTTCCTTCCAAAATCCGCCCATAGGAGGGCATGCCCGACCTAGTCATAGAAGCCGCACGCGCGAAGCATGGAGAGGCGAATTTCTTCCTCAGCCAGAGCTCCCATTCGTCCGCCTACCTGGATGCGCGAGCTTATCGGAGACATCCGCCTCACCAGCAACGAGAATCGTCAAGCTCGAGCAGAGCATGGCTCAGGAGGTCCACAGCATCAGAGGCGCTCTAGCCCGGACCGGCCACAACATCCAGATCATGAGCGACCGACTCGTTGCACTTGAGCCAGGTTCTACCAACTCCATCAACGCCGCTGTTTCCGCCGCCGTCGACGGGAGCACCCACAAAGTCGTAGCCGACCTCGAGGCCCTTAAGACTCGTGCACCGACGTCCTCGGCTGCCCGTTTTGCTACTTCCACCGGTATCTGGGCGGCCGGTGCTCCGCCAGGCTCCACCTCCAGGCCGGTTGATGACAAGAAGCGGTGGGTTGGACCATCCCCGAGATCCGTGACGAAGTCTCAGCGCACTGCCCACTGGGACTTCGTCGAAGGAACCTGTGTCTTTCATTTTGTATAGGGCACCGCGGTCTCCGTCACCTCGCCTCATCCTCATCTTCCGCCTCTGCCTCCGCCGCCTCCTCATTGTCGCCTCTGTTTCCTGCTTTATTCCCAACCCTCCTGCGTTGGTGGCTTTTCGTCTTGGACAGGCACTGCTCGTGCGTCTCTTTTCGTGCCATCTGCGTCTTGCTTTATTCCCACGGTTTGTGGGGCTGCGAATTGCGAAACTGCACGTTTTTCGTAGGTTCATGTGGGGCTCGCTGGTGGTGTCTTGCGCACATTCAGGTTTGACCTCACGGTTCCCTGAGGGGGCTGCGGACTGCGAAGTTGCCGCCGGCTTGGCGGGTTCCTGAGGGAGGGGCGGCCAGCGGAGAGGAGCTTAACGCACATCCAGGCTAGACCTCAGCTCCTTATGAGGCTGCGAATTGCGAAACGGTCGCGCCTTTCGTGGGCTTCTGGGGAGTGGTGTCTTACGCTCATCCAGACTAGACCTCTCGACGCACTGGGAAGCTGCGATATGCGAAACTGTCGCGCCTTTCGTGGGCTCCTGGGGGGGCCAGCAGGGCGGTGCCTTCCGCACATCCAGATGCGAGCTCTCGGCTCCCTTGGGGGGGCTGCGAGATTCAAAGCAGTCGCCGGTTTCGCGGGCTCCTGGGGGGGCGGACCAGCGGAGTTATGTCCCACGCACGTCCAAAGAACACTTCGCAGCTCCCGAAGAAGCTGCGAACTGCGAAACGGTCGCGCCGCGCCTCTCGTGGGCTCCTGGGCGGCCCAGCGGAGTGGTGTCTGATGAACATCCAGACTGGAATTCTCGGCTCCCTGGGTGGCTGCGAACTGCCAAACCGTCACCGCTTTCGTGGGCTCCTGGGGACCCAGCGGAGTAGTGTTTTATGCCCATCTAGACTAGGCCTCGCAGCTTCCTGGGTGGGCTTGCGGTTCCCTGGAGACTTGCACCACTCAGAGCATGGCGTTCTTCCTGTTCTATCGCGCATGGCATCTGTTCTGGAATGTAGCGCGCGGCGCGGCTACCCTCACGAAGTATTTCCTTTGTTTCCCTCTATACGTTCCCGCGTCGGTCGCGCTTTTTCCCCACATCCTGAGTGGGGTTCTTGTTTTCCCAGAACACCCTCTCCTTCTCCTCCTCCTCCTCCTTCTCCTCCTCCTCCTCCTCCTCCCGCGTCCTTCTCCTAAACCATACCATACGATACCATTCCGCACATCACCATACCATACCAAGCCATACCATACCAATACCATACCATACCAATACCATACCAAGCCATACCATACCAATACCATACCAATACCATACCATACCAAGCCCTACCATACCAATACCATACCATACCAATACCATACCAAACCATACCAAGCCATACCATACCAATACACTGCCATACCAATACCATACCAAGCCATACCATACCATACCAATACCATACCAATACCATGCAACACCTGTTATGTATCAGGTTTCGTCTGAGCTCCCTCCCACCATACCAATACCATACCAAAACCATACCAATACCATGCGCCCCTCCCACCCCTCCAGGGAGGCCCCGCCTGAGCGAGGACGCTATTCGAAAACAGTATGATTTATCAGGTTTCGTGCCCCTCCCACCCCTCCAGGGAGGCCCCGCAAGAGCGAGGACGCTATTCGAAAACAGTGTTATTTATCAGGTGTCGTGCCACTCCCACCCCTCCAGGGAGGCCCCGCCTGAGCGAGGACGCTATTCGAAAGCAGTGTTATGTATCAGGTTTCGTGCCCCTCCCACCCCTCCAGGGAGGCCCCGCCTGAGCGAGGACGCTATTCGAAAGCAGTGTTATTTATCAGGTCCCGTTCCCCTGCAACCCCTCCAGGGAGGCCCCGCCTGAGCGAGGACGCTATTCGAAAACAGTATAATTTATCAGGTTTCGTGCCACTCCCACCCCTCCAGGGAGGCCCCGCCTGAGCGAGGACGCTATTCGAAAACAGTGTCATGTATCAAGTTTCGTGCCCCTCCCACCCCTCCAGGGAGGCCCCGCCTGAGCGAGGACGCTATTCGAAAACAGTGTTATTTATTAGGTTTCGTGCCCCTCCCACCCTCCAGGGAGGCCCCGCCTGAGCGAGGACGCGTTCGAAAACAGTGTTATTTATCAGGTTTCGTGCCCCTCCCACCCCTCCAGGGAGGCCCCGCCTGAGCGAGGACGCTATTCGAAAGCAGTGTTATTTATCAGGTTCCGTTCCCCTGCAACCCCTCCAGGGAGGCCCCGCCTGAGCGAGGACGCTATTCGAAAACAGTATAATTTATCAGGTTTCGTGCCACTCCCACCCCTCCAGGGAGGCCCCGCCTGAGCGAGGACGCTATTCGAAAACAGTGTCATGTATCAAGTTTCGTGCCCCTCCCACCCCTCCAGGGAGGCCCCGCCTGAGCGAGGACGCTATTCGAAAACAGTGTTATTTATTAGGTTTCGTGCCCCTCCCACCCTCCAGGGAGGCCCCGCCTGAGCGAGGACGCGATTCGAAAACAGTGTTATGTATCAGGTTTCGTGCCCCTCCCACCCCTCCAGGGAGGCCCCGCAAGAGCGAGGACGCTATTCGAAAACAGTGGTATGTATTAGGTTTCGTGCTCCTCCCACCCCTCTAGGGAGGCCCCGCAAGAGCGAGGACGCTATTCGAAAACAGTGTTATTTATTAGGTTTCGTGCCCCTCCCACCCTCCACGGAGGCCCCGCCTGAGCGAGGGCGCTATTCGCAAACAATGTTATTTATAAGGTTTCGTGCCCCTCCAACCCCTCCAGGGAGGCCCCGCCCCGCCTGAGCGAGGACGCTATTCGCGAACAGTGTTCTTTATCAGGGTTCGTGCCCCTCCATCCCCTCCAGGGAGCCCCCGCCTGAGCGAGGACCGTAGTCGCGAACAGTGTTCTTTACCAGGTTTCGTGCCCCTCCCACCCCTCCAGGGAGGCCCCGCCTGAGCGAGGAGGGTATTCGCAAACCATGTGATAGAAAAGGATGGAGAGGGCGAGGGCAGGTCGGCAACTTCATGACAAAATGATCCTTGATTCCGCTATCACAATAACATCATTATGTGGGGAACTCCGTTAGCATAATTTGGTTTTGTCTAGTCCTGATCGCCTTCATGCCTATGATGCAAATCGCGGGAACGATGCTGCGAATGGATCGCATTTGGTTGCGGCTCGACGTTCTTTAGCGAGGCGGTTAAAGGCTTTGCTGGTCCTTGAAGGTTTCCTGTTATCTGGGGTTGTTCTGGGTCCAGTCGCCTCAAGTGATAAAACGGGTTGGGTACGTCCCTGGGTAACTTCACAACGTAAGCCCCCAGAGATCTTGACCCATTCCCCGGGACTGGTTTTTGCATTCCCCATATCCTAAGATGGGGTTATTGTTATTACTCGGACGCCGCTGACCCAAAGAGAACACACCTACTCATGCACAGACTTACTCATACTCAGACCCACTCATACGCATACCTTCTCATGGTCTGACTTACTCAGGCCTACTCATACTCAGACTTACTCATGCTGGGACTCCTTCATACCCAGACTTACTCATACCCAGACTCGTTCCCAGACGTGCCCATACACAGACGTACTCACACTCTGACCTACACATACTCAGACCTTCTCCTAGTTTGAGTTATCCAGCGCACGGACTGAGGCCTACTCATACTCAGACCTAGTCATACTCAGACTCGCAAGGGGAGCCGCCAGGGGTGTTTTCACAGGCCCGTTCGCTGCCAGTTTGTGGAGATGCCTCAGGCGGTTTGCTTGTTTTCATGCCCAATGTCCTTGGCTTGCAGAGCAGATTCTGAGGATGTCTCGGGCGGGGCGCTGGTTTCAGCACCCCAAAGGGAAGCCGCCAGGATGTTTTCACAGGCCCGTTCGCGGCCAGTTTGTGGGGATGTCTCAGGCGGTTTGCTCGTTGTCATGCCCAACATTTCTGGCTTCCAGAGCAGATTTTGAGGATGCCTCAGGCGGGGCGCTGGTTTCAGCATCCCTAAGGAGAGCCGCCAGGGGGTAGGACACGGGCCCGTCCGCGGCCATTTTGCGGGGATCTCTCAGGCGGTCTGCTCGTTTTCATGCTGCGAGGAAGGAGATGAGGAGATGAGGCGTGCTGCGAAGGAATTCTTTGCCTTGACACAAAATTATGCGCGGGCAGATGCATGTTAATGAACGCATGCACGTGGTGGATGTGCAGCCGCGCTGCGCGCACGTGTGCTCGCCGTTCACATGGACGCGCTCGTGGAGCAAACAACTATCATGGACAAATGCTCGCCGTGGCACTATCGTACACCATGATATGCACATATGGCGTTCATATTCAATCATACTCAAAGCTCACTCTGACTCATACTCACTCACTCACATTAGGATTCACACGTCTTCGTCGGCCCTGTCGCCCACGTGGACGCGCTATTCTAGTCAAGCGCTCATGAACAGAGGCTCACTCTGGCATGACATAAAACATGATATGCACATATGGGGAGCTCCACGCAGTGAGTAATCCCGAATCGTTTTTTGTTACGGTCCCGTGGCCTGGCGAGGGCCCCGTGTTTGTTTCACGGTCTGGTACCGTAGTTGTCCTCATGAAGCGATTCCTTACCAGTGCCCCCGCCGTAGCGCTAGGCCTCCCATATGGGGTCAGAGTGCTGGGGCCGGTGGATCGTTCCGCATCGGCGATGCGTCGGCAGTGCGGCTCGATGCGGAGCCCGATTTTCTTCACGCTGGCGTTGCCGATGCACCGCCGACGTCGCCGATGCATCGGCGATGCGGTGTAGTACTCCGACCCCACCTCTATTCGGAACCCTCCTGAGTGAGAGGCCTGCATCACCGTAGCGTTAAGTCCGGCGCGTCTCCCTACAAGAGGAACCTTCGAGAATATTCAAAAAATAGTAAGGGGACGTTTTTTTTGCCCATGGTATTTTTCATTTTTTTGAATATTGTTTTTGACTGCTATTTCTTTCTCCTAAAATCCGCCTGTGGAGGGACAGGCCCGACCAAACCGTAGCGCTGCCTCCGCCCAGCACTGCCCTCCCCGCGAGGCCCCGGCGCATGTCGCGTGGAGCGCCGGCCCCTCCCGGCAGGGCCCGCGGCCGCAGGGGCGCCGGGCGCCAGCCGCCGCGGCCCGCTGGCGGGGCGTTGGGTGGTCGTCAGCGAGGCGCCTTGCTCCGCGGATCCGCTTCCTGGTCATTCGAAGAGAAGAGAAAACCACAAATAAGCATCAACTTGTGCCGCTCCGCGCGGATTCCTTGGATCCGCGCTGGGCCCCCCTCCCTGGCGCGCGGAGCGCGCCAGGGGCGGCGCCGGAGGCGCCGCCAGGGGGCCCCAGCGCCGATCCGAAAAACTCGCGCGGACCTCAAAGTTTTGATGTTTATGTCATTCTTCGTTCCCCTAGCCATGAACAAAAAGCATGACGTCGGGGGTCTGGGACAAGGGCGGTGCCGTGGCGATCCCGACAGTTCGCGGATTTCTTGGATCCGCGCTGGGGCCCCCCCGCGGCGCCTCCAGCGCCACCCCTGGCGCGCTCCGCGCGCCAGGAAGGGGGGTCCATGCCAGATCCAAGAAATCCGCGCGGAGGGCCAACAGTTTCTGTTTATGGTGTTTTTGTCTTCTTCTATTGTCATGGCGCCAACGTCGCAAAGCGGATGTCGTTCGGAAAAAAATCGGATGAACCCGGAGTGTGCTGGAGAATATCGTTCCAGAGTTCGACGTGCATTTCGTGCGGGCTTTGGTTGGCCAGGAGTGAAGACAAAAAAACAAACACCTGGAATTCACTGCGTTTTTCGCTCGCCATTTCGGGGTTTTGCATCGACAAATCCACGCGAAGATCCGCTGCAGCACGTGTGCAAGGTCGGTGCAGTGATCCTTGTCGGCCGACATCTTGACGACAAATCTGCACGGCATTCTGGGTGAAGTCTGGACGGAGGGATTAAGAGGGGGGGGGTCGAACTCGCGTGGCGGCGGGCATTGGTCGTAACGTGCCTGGCGTGTGCAGGACTCCCACGAAGGCCCAGAGACGTTGCTCTGCGATGGCAACGAGGGGCGCGTCCTCGTCGAGCGATGGCAAGGGGCGCGTCCTCGTCGCGTGTGCGATAGGGGCCGCGGAGGCCCACCGAGGCGCCCCTGGAAGGCTCTCACCCCGCCTCCCAGGCGCGCTCGCGTCGTGGTGACAAAATCACCACGGGAGGTCGTCAGAGCTATTCTTGTGGCCCCTGGGGGCCCTCGCCGGGCTCCGTGGTCGTCAGAAACCGCTTCAGGAGGAAAAACCGGGGCCAAAGAAGAATTCGTTTTGGTACCAAAGTTCTTTGGTCCCAAGGAAATGCTCTGTGGACAAACACACACACACACAACAAAAACACACACACACACACACAAAACACACAAAAAATGCTGTGTTTGTTTTTTCCCACTGTGTGTGTTGTGTGTTGTGTGTGTGTGTTGTGTGTTGTGTATGTTGTGTGTTGTGTGCGTGCGTGCGTGCGTGCGTGCGTGCGTGCGTGCGTGCGTGCGTGCGTGCGTGCGTGCGTGCGTGCGTGTTTGTGTGTTTGTGTGTTTGTGTGTTTGTGTGTGTTGTGTGTTTGTGTGTGTGTGTGTGAGTGTGTGTGTGTGTGTGTGTGTGCGTGCGTGCGTGCGTGCGTGCGTGCGTGCGTGCGTGCGTGCGTGCGTGCGTGCGTGCGTGCGTGCGTGCGTGCGTGCGTGCGTGCGTGCGTGCGTGCGTGCGTGCGTGCGTGCGTGCGTGCGTGCGTGCGTGCGTGCGTGCGCGTGCGTGCGTGCGTGCGTGCGTGCGTGCGTGCGTGCGTGCGTGCGTGCGTGCGTGCGTGTGTGTGTGTGTGTGTTGTGTGCGTGTGTGTTTTTCCACAGTGTGTTTTGTGTGTGTGTGTTTGTGTTTTTTGTGTGTTTGTTCCCCCGACAGACTTTGGGGGCCATCTTTGGTAACATTGAACCGTGGCGTGGTGCAGACCTCGCGTGGCCCACGAACGGCGCAGGTCGCCACGCCCACGCCCTCGCGGCTCTTCGACCTCGGGGAGCGACCCAGCAGATTCAAGCAGTGACGAAGCGTCCTGGCTCGCCTATAGCCCTACCGAACAATCGTCTAAGAAACGCTTGTGGTTCCCACGAAATGTTCTTAGAACATTTCTGGCTGATGTTGTTTTGTTTTAACACAACGGGGTTTAGGTTCTAAGAACATTGTTTTTGGCCTTAGAACATGTTTGGGTTCTAAGAACATGTCGTGGTATGACTATAGGAATGCCGGGACGGTCGGCCTCTGCTCAACAGATGCGTTCCGCGCGGGGCAGCCGCGAACAACAACATTCCGTGTCCGCGGGGTCGCGGCCTAGGGGCATGGCCCGCGAGGCTGCGGATACGGACATGTGTTAAGTCGGGCCTGTCCCCCTACAGGGGGATTTTCGAAGAAAAAGAAAAAATACCCCAAAAATAATCCAAAAATAGTCCAACAAAAACCTGGGGACTATTTTTGGACTAGTTTTGTTGCCTCTCTGAGGCATTTTTTTGTTCGTCGAAAATCCCCCTGTAGGGGGACACGCCCGACATAGGACATGTGTTCCGCCCACGGCTTGCTCCGCAGAATTGCTCCGCCGATCTTACGTTGCGTCTTCGGGGGGTCCCTTCTGTCACCAGCATTGTTGTCTACTCTTGTGCCAGGCGCAGGCTCGATGCGGACTCGATGCGGATTCGATGTGGATTCGGCGCGGATTCGACGTGGATTCGACGAGTCCTGCATGGATCTGACGTGGATTCGACGCGGATTCGCGAAATTGTTTTTATCTGATCCTCTGGCGCGTAACGGTCCGGTCGTTCCCGGACCAAACTCTTCCCCTCCCGCCCCCTCCCAGGTAACGGTGATGATCATGCGTAGAGGGGTTTCGGATGCATTCGTGGGAGGTCAACTATGATTTTGTCCTGGTCCGAAATCCGGCTGAATCCCGCTTAACAAATCCCGCTTAATCCGGCTGAATCCCGCTTCATCCGAGGCCCACTCTGGCGTAACAGCCCCCCAGTGGGGCTTAATCCTCCTTAATCCATCCGACGAAGACCTCCCAGCAGTTGCCTCCTAACGCCCCCCCCCCAGGTAACGGTAATGATCCTGCGAAGAGGGGAGGAGGAGGAGGAGGAGGAGGAGGAGGAGGAGGGAGGAGGAGGAGGAGGAGGAGGAGGAGGAGGGGGGAGGGGGGGGAGGGGGAGGAGGGGGGGGGGGAATTGCTGGACCCCTCCACATGCTGGTGCTTCCCGCGCGCATGCTGCGCGCCGACCGCGGCGCGCCCCCGCCCTGACGTGGCCCGCTCGGCCTAAGCGTTGCTGTCGCCCCCCCCCCCCCTCCTCCTCCTCCTCCTCCTCCTGCTCCTCCTCCCCGTCCTCCTTCTCCTCCTCCTTCTCCTCCTCCTCCTCCTCCTTCTCCTACTCCTCCCCCCACCCCCCTGGGTAACCCTGATTGAGCCAAAAGGGGCCCAGCGAAAAGGGAGTGGTGCAATAGGATTGGTGCAATAGATTTGTGGTGTTGCAATAAATTTGGGGTGTGCAATACTCGCGTGCAGCACATTCGTTGCAATGCAATGCAATACAATTCTCTGGCGCAGTATATTTGCAAAACGGTTGCCCCAAATCTATTGCACCACCCCCTTTCAGCTGGACCCCCCTTTTGCGTCACGAGGAGTTGCAACCATCACCAGAAATTATAGAACAAATGAACTCCGCAGCCCCCTCGCGTCGTCGTCCTTCGAGGTTCTCGGGCGTGTGCCGTCGGTTCCCCAAGGGTTCTCCCGTCTCGGGATGCTCTCCTGCAGCCGCGCCTCGCCGAGGCTTTTTCCACCGCAGCGGTGTTGGGGCAGGGAGGAAGAGGAACAGGGGGAGGATCCGACAGGACATCGAGCCGAAAAAAAAAAAAAAAAAAAACAGGGGGAGGACGCGACTCATCGATCAGCAACGTCGCACGTGTCCCCATTCGGTGCAAGGCTGCGTCTCCCGCGGGGGCGCACGCTCCACAAGGCACACTGCGGAGAGAGGCACGGCACGCACAACCGTCGGCGTTGGATGGCCGCTTCCCGCGCCCGTCCCGCCGGTGCGTCGAGATGGTCGCGGTTACAGCGTGTTTCACCACCCACCAAACCACCCCAACCCAACCCGAAGGCCCAAATTTATCCTCGATTTCCAGTGGGGGGGGGTCGGAGAACGTTGAGAAAACACATGGTATCCGTACCCCCCCCAACCCGAAATTCGGGTCAAATTCGGGTCTTCGGGTTGGGTTGGGGTGGTCTGGTAGGTAGTCAGTGTTGCGCACTGCCACACAAGGTCCACAGCATCTGCAGACAAGCACAGTGGCCGCGTAGCGCAGTTTTTGCCAGCACCGCCAGAGTTAGGACGCGCGGTGCGAGAGACGACGCGCGTGCGCCAGTGATGCTCAACGTCCCTCCCGAACGGCGCAGCCCGCCAGCCCTGCCTGCCCAAACCACGGCCGCCTGCAACTCCGAGAGCCGCGCAAGAACCACGGAGAGCAGCGCCTGGCTGCGACGCCACGACGGCAGCGTCGATGACCTCTCAGGGGGCGCCGCTGGGCTGCCTGCCGCACCGTGAGCCGTGGCGTCCGGACCCCGAGCGGCGTCTCGAGAGACACGCACACGTGGGCGCAGGGGCAGGAGGCGAGCCAGCTTCTTGGGCTGGGGCTTCACGAGCGATTGATGTGGCCACGCGGGATACATCCGTGACAAGGATGGCGAGTCACCAATTCTGCAGGCCTGTCACCAGCATCCGGCTGCACGTGCCAGCCCGGGTAGCCGCCTCGTCTGGAGCAGCTGAGCAGGATGCATAGAGGAGATAACCGATTCTTTGCACATGACACTCCCATCCCGCCGCAGGCGCCGAATGTCCGTCAAAGCAGTGCGGCTGAAGTCGAGGGTGGGTCGCGGGCGGGCCGCAGGGTCGGACGCGGGGTGAGTCGCGGGGTGGGTCGCGGGTGGGTCGCGGGTGGGTCGCAGGCGGGTCGCCAGCGAGGACGACGACAACAAGCAGAGCCCGGGCCGCAGAATCCCGCTTCAGCCACGCACCCAGGCACGATGTCGGTGTAAGACCGTTCAGCCATTCATTGTGAGATTCAATCAGTATGGGTGTGTGCTACAGGTGCCTGTTACCAATGTATCGTAATGGGGCATGCTCTCGATGTTTGCGTGTGTGTGGATGTTATTTGGTATGTATAGTTGGTGTATGCTGTCTGTGCATGGTCTGGGTGCTTTGTACTTGTTATTGATAGTCATGTTTGTGTTGGATGCGCGCTCTTGAATAATAGTATTGATGTGCGTTCTCGGTGCAAAGGTTTGATGTCTGCTACTGGTGTCGAGTAGTGGTGTATATTATTGACGTTTGTTCTCGATGGCTGTTCTGGATGTCTGTGACGCCTGGACGGTGTGACGCCGTGACGCGGGATCATCTGTGAATTACCTCCAGTCATATACGCTTGCTCATGATTCTGTCGCGTGAGCCTCATGCACCCTCAGGGATCTGTTGGGCCAGACGGCGCGGTACGGCGGGGGCGATCGTGAAGGAATGCGCCCAGGAGGCTTCAGGTGTTGGAGGATCCTTTGCCGGATGGGGTCGGCGGTGGTCCATGGCCCAGACTCAAGTGCTTAACCACCGGCTTTCAGACCCTGGATTCCTTATGCGGTTGCCCCGGACGCCGAGCGGGGCCGCCTGGAGCCTGAGCTCCAGGGCCGCGGATGCGCCCGGCCACCTCGAGGGCAGCGCGAGCGGCGCGGACGTGGTGGTGCAGCGCTCTCCGCGGGCGTTGCCGCGACCTGCCCGTGCAGCTCCGAGGCGGCCGCGTCTCGGCGGAGCGATAGATTTGTACGTATATACATTATGTGACTTGATAACACTTGATAGCTTATTCCTTGTCTAACTTTGTGGAATAATATATATATATATATATATATATATATATAGATATATAGAATATACCGCGCCGCGGGCGCCCACGGGGCGAGGCTCCGGTGGCTTTTGCCCTCGCCGTGCTCGGTGGCTGGCCCCTCCGCGGCGGCAAACGCGCTGGCCGCGTGCTGCAAGGGCCCGCCTCGGCGCGTGAGCGGGCGCTCGGCGGGCGGGGGGCTTCTCCCTCCCTTCCCTTCGCCTCCCCCTCCCCCTTCCCTTCGCCCTCCCTTCCCCTCCCCCTCCCCCTTCCCTTCCCTTCCCCTCCCTTCCCCTTCTCCTCCCTCCCTTCCCTTCCCTCCCCCTCCCCGCTCTCGTCCCCCCTCTTTGCCACAGGGCTCGAAGTCATGCTTGCAGGTAGTCATGCCTCGAGTGGCCGGCCTCGAAGTCATGCTAGCAAGTATAACTCTCGGTACGCGAGGAACAGAAGCACAAACGTTGCCCTCACCGTGCGCAGGGTGGGCGAGGCGGGACCCCCAGGGATCGCCCAGAGTGTTGCGGCCCGGCGGCCACGCTGTGCAGCGTGGGCGAGGTGGGTCTCGGGAACCTTTGCGCGGAAATCTCGCAGCCCCAGCCTGTCGCGTGGGGCAAAGATTACTCAACGTCCATCTGCCGAGGTTCGCGCGGCTGTCCTGGATCGGCGCTGGCCACCCATGGCGCGCGGAGCGCGCCGAGGGCGGCGCCAGGGTGGCCCCTCGAACAATCACGTCTACTCGGAGCCGTAGGTACTGTTCTCCCGTCTGTCTCGGTGTCTGCATCTCCCTCCCCCCCCTGCCGTTCACCCGGAGTCGACTCGGTCCACATGTCTCAACGGCACCGTAACGGGTACTTACTAACGGGTACTTTGAATTTGTGCCGAAAGTTGCCACCTTACAGCCTTTTTCTTGCATTGCAGCGTTGCCCACATCGGGAAGGGTTGGGTTCGCTGGGTCACTGGCCAGAGTGCCCGTTAGTGGAGTCCCCGTTTGAGGGGCGCTGAATGTCGATTCGGTCACCGACTCTCCGGTTCGATTCCCGCCCTTCCTGCCCCGCTCTCCTCTCCCCCCTCCGTGCCCGGGCAGGCGGGTGACTGCCTCGTGGACTGCCCGGCCGAGGCCGACGCCGCGGAGGAGCGCGCGTTGCTCCCCCCCCCCCTATGTGGGCGCGGGAGGGGCCCAGGGGGGGGGGAGATTGATTGACGAGAGGGGGGGAGGTCTGAGGGGGGGGGGCCCAGAGGGGGGGGGAGATTGACGAGAAGGGGGGCCCAGAGGGGGGGAGGAGGTCCGAGGCGGGGATTCTCCCTATCCTCAGATCCTGGCGCTGCATGTCCCCAGGCAGAGCTTGCCTCTGTGGGGTCCTCGCGGGTTCATATGGTAAGGTGAGGTGTGTCACCGTCTTCTGCGGCCCGCCCAGGTGCCCAGGTGCCTGGGTGCCCCCGGGTGCCCTACAGCCCTATAGCCCCATAGCCCTATAGCCCTATAGCCCAATAGCCCTTACAGCCCTATAGCCCAATAGCCCTATATAGGCTTATATACATATAACCCTATAGCCCTATAGCCGCTATAGCTATATAGCCCCATAGCTTTATGGCCCGATAGTTGCATAACCCAATAGCCTTATAGGCATATAGCCCCTTAGCCCCATAGCCCTATCGCTCTCTTGCCCTTTAGCCCTATAGGCAGCCCTTTAGGCTTGACCCTTAACCCTATAGCCCTATAGCGCGATATGCCTATAGCCGTATAGCCATATAGCCCTATAGCCCTATGGTCCCATAGCCATATCGCCCCCTAGCCCTATGGCCCCATAGCCCCATAGCCCTTGTAGCCCCATAGCCCCATATCCCTACAGCCCTATAGCCTTCGGGCCCCATAATCCTGTAGCCCTCTAGCCCTATAAACCTATAGCTCTATGGCCCTACAGCCTTATTGCCCCATTGCCCTATAGCCCTGAAAAGATGATGATCAGGGAGTTCTCTCGGGTATCATTGTTTCCTTTTTTGGCGTTTTCGCGCGGGTTCGGACCCCATGGCCCTCACAGATCGATCGGGCCTCAGAATTGACGCACACAGATTCGGTCCAGGGCTCTGGCCGCTCTGTTCTGTGATGTTTGATCTCTCTTGCCGCGTCGAGCCCGGGAGACCGACCTTCCTGGACGCATTGGGGCGGTGGACATGCATGCCCTGACCCCCGCAATCGCGGACAAGAGTGAGGGGGCGCGTGGGCTGCCTCGACTGGGCTGCGGGCCCGAGCGCCACTGTAAAAGAACGCCCGTCGCGGGCGTCCTTCGCCCCCCCCACCCCCTGGGGCAACCGGCTCGCCGCAGGAGGCGCCGATTCCTATCTGCAGAGCTATGTGGGCAGGCCGCGGGGCGGGGCGTCGCACGACCACGACGCTCGAGAGCCAGTGTGCAGAAACCCGCCGCGGGCGCCGACCGGCTCTTCTGCACACAGCCACAGTCCGTTGAAGGCGGCGTTCTTGTAAGATTCGGAGTGGGTGGATCGAGGGCGTGATTCGCGGGTGTGGGTCGCGAGAGGGTCGCGGGTGTGTCGCGGGTGGTTCGCGGTCGGGTCGTTGGGTGGGTCGCGGGGCGGGTCGCGGAGGAAGAAAGGTCGACGCCGGCGGCTGGGAGGACCAGCCTTCCCCGTGGGAGCCCCTCTGGGGGGAGGGTTGCGAGGGAGGAAAAGCTGCTTCCAATGCCGCCCAGAACCAAAACTGCTTCCAATGTTGAGGTTCGGCGCTCTCAGCTTTGACCACGTTTCAACATTGCGTCGACGCGCTCGTGGTACTGCTCGCGAGCGTTCCTCCTCTCCTCCGAGGAGGGGGGAGGGGAGGAGGGGCAGGACGGGTAGGAGGAGGGGCCAGGCTAGCCAGGGCGAACGGGTCAGCGGGCCCCGCCCACTTCCCTTCACGACATGAAACCGATGCTGGCGCCACCGACTATCGTGATTGGTGCGTTGTTCCCCCCTGGCGAACGGAGGGCGCTCCGGCGCGGTCCTGTTTCCGACGACCTGGCGAGATGGGGGGAGAATCTCAGGCAGTGCGCATGCGGGGGCGAAAACTTTTCAGCGAGGGCATGCTTCAGCCCTCTCGCGCGCGACCGACATTCCGAGGAGAGCGGGAGAGACGGGTGTGCGCCCTCCCGGAACAGCAGTGCCCCTTTCACGTGAAGCCTGCGAAGCGCGTTTTGGGGCAACCACCACTTCGCCCGCTCGCGCGCAGCCACACAACCGCTCCCCCGACGACTCGGCGAGCGAAAAGTATGCGACGCGCCCGCGCGAGCAATACAGTGGGGGCCCTGAAGAAGGAACCCTTTTCGTTGGGGAGGGGCTCCGCGTTCCTTAAGTGTTTCGCAGCTTGCCTCAGGTTTTCCTGGTGTTTTCGACGGGCAATCGAAGTTTGACTTATGGAAAACAGGGGCCTCGTTCCTCATTGAGGGTTCCTTAGGTCAACGCCTCGACTGTACCACCGCCACACGAGGCTGGCACGGAGCTCGGGCGAGAGCGGCACCTTCGCTCGCGGCGCCGCGCTCCCGGCGGCCGAGCGACAAAAAGCATACGCGGCGCCGCAGCGGGAGCGCCTTCGTTCGGGCGAGGACGGCGCGCGGCGTTCGGGCGAGAGAGCGACATGTCGCTCGCTCATGCGCGGCCCCGCCGGAAACATACACGGTCGACCCGCATAGCAAAGGATGGGCATGTTTCCCAATGGTGCCCTTGCCTTCTGGCCTCCTCGCCCCGTCCTTGGGCGCTTTTGTTGGCCGCGCCCCGCGGGGAAAGCTTCGGCATGGGCGTCCAGGCCCCTGTATGATTATCGCGCGTCCTTGTGAGACGTGTTGACTATAATCGCGAGCGAAAAGTTTGCGCCGCGCCCAAACGGGAGTTCAACTCCATGGGGCGGAGTTGATACGTCGCACTCTCTCGCACGCGGTGTGTATGTGTGTGTGAGTGTGTGAATGTGTGAGTGTGTGCTTTCGTGTGTTTGTGTGTGTCTGTATGTGCAAGTACGTGTAAGTGTGTGTAACTGTGTGTAAGTGTGTGTGTGTATGTAAGTGTAAGTGTGAGTGTGAGTGTAAGTGTAAGTGTAAGTGTATGTGTAAGTGTAACTGTAAGTATAAGTGTAAGTGTGTGTGTGTGCGTGTGTGTACAAGTGTCTGTGTGCAAGTGTGTGTGTGTATGTGTTCGTGTGTGTATGCAGCGTCCCGCTCCTGCCACATATGCTCTGCTCCGGCAGCGACAAAAAGCCAGGGCTGAGATGGACATGGGCGACTCTGCTTTATTGGTCCAAAGGAGGAACAGGTACTCATACCCCTACCTTTCCCTCGTTTTCCCTTTTTGGGGCCTCCTGGGAGGCCCTCGTCGCCACCGCTGGATTCGCTTCGAAATCCTGGTCAGAACGCACCCCGGGAGAGGTCCGGGGAGTAGCGGTATGGGTACATCTTGGTCTCCTCATTGATGGGTCGGATGGAAGGTCCCTGATGGTGTGGCTATCGGCCAGCCATGCGGCAGAGTGTGCGTAATTATGTGTATAGGTCCAGATAGCCAGGTCGAGCAGGTCAGAGGGCCCCGCCTATTCCCACCCGCCCTCCAACCACATGAGACCGGCACGACTTGCTGTTGGGACTGGAGCGCGCTGCCACGTCGCAAGCGGAAGGCGCTCGCGCGAATCTCCGCTTCCGACGATTTGGCGAAGGGACAGGTTACCCATCGGCCGTTGAAAGTGGGTATTTTGGAATCCCAGATTCCAATATACTTCAAGCGCCTTACTGCTTCAATGATCGAGTGGCTTCACCTTCTCCGTCCTCCTTGGGGGCCGGCGGAAACCCAATCTACTTTCAACGCCTTCCGACTTCATGTTTTTACCTACTTCTTCCGACCGATGGGTACGCGGGCCGCGCAGGGGCTGGAGCGGCAACGCTTGCATTCACAAGCTGCGCGGCGCTTGAGCGTGGAGGAGGAGGAGGCGGAGGAGGAGACGGAGGAAGAAAGGGAGGAGGAGGAGGAGGAGGAGGCGGAGTAGGAAAGGGAGGAGGAGGAGGAGGAGGAGGAGGAGGAGGCGGAGGAGTAGGATGAGGAGGCGGAGGAGGAGGAGGCGGAGGAGGAGGAGGCGGAGGAGGAGGAGGCGGAGGCGGAGGAGGAGGAGGAGGATGATACTGCGCGGCGCGTGGGCGAGAGGTTAGCTTTTCTCGCCCGCTCCTTGCGCGCGGTCCCGCTGCCGCTCTCTCGTTTCTTTCCTTGCGCTTCGGCGACGCACTGGCGCCGACCGTCGAGGCGCGGGAGTGCCACTTGCAGGCGATCTCTGCCCGGCACCTAGGCGCGAGAGCGACAGTTGGCTTCGCTCGGGGGCGGCCAACAGGGGGGTGCTGCCGGGGGGGTGGGGTGGATATCATGGTGGGGGCCATGATCTTTCCTCAGATTTCATGGCGCGTCTTCTTGTTTTGCGTCCCCGCCCCCCCCCTGGGCCGCGCACATGCCGCCGGCAATGATTTGCGCCCCCCCCTCTTGGACGCCCCCCTCTTAGCCGCCCCCGATGTGCTCACGCGTCGACGAAGTTGTGTGCGAAAAATATGCGCGCCCCGCCCCACAGAAAAGAGCGCGGCGCCGAGGCGAGAGTGGCGTTTCGGCCTCTCGTGCGGGATGCACGCCGCGTCCCGCTCCTGCCATGCAGGTTTGCAGCGTCGACGACAGAGCGCCCATGTTGAGACGAAGTGCATTGACTTGTCTGCTTGTCTTTCGACAGGTAGGATGGGACCACCCGGATCCGGTTGCTGTCGGCCCGTTTTGCGGCAGAGTGTGAGCACATACCATTAAGGATTCAGGACAGCCATTGGCATGTACAGGAATAATTGTAGATATACGAGCAAGGGGCAAGTATAGGATGTGGGGGATCGACGCGCACATGTTGGAAGACGGGCGCGACTCGTGCGATTGCCTCCGGAAGGAGGAGGACGAGGAAGACGAGGAGGATGAGGGGGCGGGGGGGATGTGTGGGAATCTCTGGAGTCTCTGCGTGGTCACGCAGTGACCTCCCAAGGCATGACCTCTGGCAAAAGCCCTCGCCGACCCCACAGACGGCCTGACAGGGCCCCAGGAGAAGCCTCCGCAGGCCCCAGGAGGTCCCGCCAAGGAGAGGTCCTGATAGATACACAAGACGGGCTTAGGAACCACGCCCCCCTTTGTGCGGAGGGGTAGGTGGGGGAGGAGGGGGGGAGATGGAAGACGGATCCGACCGCTTGGAGGATGAACAGTAGGATGAGCAGTAGGATGAGTTTGACCTGAGTAGGGGTTAGAATGTGTGTTTCGTTGTCCCTCGTTGGTTTCAGAAAACCGCTGGAGATGTTTGGCACCTCATGGAGCTTCGGGTGAACGTGGAAGGTTTGTCCGCAAGCTCGTCGCACTTAGCGTTCCCTTCGGAATATCGAGAAATCATCCTCGCTGGACCTGGGAAGCATCTCAGGTGTTCTGACACTCACTTATCGATGTTTTAGCGGATACTTGATTCGTGAGGTGAACCCTTTGTTCCGCAGGGACGGGCTCCTTCTTGATCTAGCCGCGTGTCGCACCATCAGTTCCTGCATCTCGTGTGCGCCTGTGTCTGCTTGCGTGCCCACGAATGCCGCGGCCGTCACGGGCCATCACGGTCATGATTCCAGCTAGCATGGCCCATATTGTTCGATCTGGCATATATGTGGTACGATCTCCACTTGTTCGAGTACTGAAGCGTTACATGGCGTCTGTGCCGTACCAGGCTTGCTGCCTCGACTAGGGCCCTGTTGCAATGACAGGGCGCGCAGGGAAGTGTAAGGCTCCAGAGGTCAATGGAGAATAATCAGAAGTGGGGGAGGAAGAGGATAAGGGAAGTGGAGGAGCAGGAGGGGGAGGAGGAGGACCACGATGGAAACAGGCAGACAAGGGGGAAGAGGAGGAGGAGGCGGAGGAGGAGGAGGAGGAGGAGGAGGAGGCGGGAGGAGGGGGGGGAGGGGGATGACCACGTCAATATGACGTCACGGCCGAGAGAGAGAGGGGGGGGACAGGGAAGGGGGGCCAGAGGAGGAGCGGCAGCAGGATGGGGAGCAGTGCCAGGGAGAGCGTGCCGGACACCCCCCCCCAGCAGGAGTCGCTGCCGCTGGCGACGCTGTGCCCGCTTGCCGCGGCGGTGCTGCAGTTCGTCGCGGCCGCGTGCGCCCACGAGGCGGGCCACCTTTCGCCCGACCTCCTCGCTGCTGCTCCGCGGCTCCTCCTCGCCATCCGCCCCCTGCCGCTGCTCCCGCCCGTCTGCGTTGTCCTCGCCCTCGCCCTCGCCCTCATCTGCTGCTGCCGCTGCTGCTGCTGCTGCTGCTGCTGCTGCTGCACTCTGGAGCGCCACCACTTCTTTGGGGGCTGAGACCTCGGACCGCCTGGCTCCAGGCCCGCCCCCCAAAAGACCCACCCTCGCGCTCCCTGCTGCCCCCCCCCCCCCTCCGGCTCCTCGCCCTCCCCGCCCTGCAGCAGAGGCTCGGCCTCAGCCCGCGCCCGCCGCGATCCCGCGCTAGGGCGCGCCCCCGCGGGTGCCCGCGAGCGCCGCATCTCCGCACCCCTCGCCGCGGCCGCCCCCGGCATGTTCCGTGGCCCTCTACTGGCCGTGGGCGGCCGCCTGGGTGCCGCGCGGCACGGCAGTGCTGAGCGCCCTGCCGCTGCGTGCCCCTCGAGGGCCCAACGACTCTTCGCCGCGCGGCTCGCGGAGATCGGGCCAGACAGACCAGGGCACGTGCAGATCCATCGGGGCACATTCAACCCTGGCTCATCCAAGCGAGTCCAGAGGTCACCAGGGAACTGTTGAGCAAGTCGTGGCCGCTCCCTCGCGAGTTGAGGGACGGCAGAGGTTGTGAAGTTCCGAACGATGTGTGTGTGTGTGTGTGGGTGTGTGTGTGTGTGGGTGTGGGTGTGGGTGTGGGTGTGGGTGTGGGTGTGGGTGTGGGTGTGTGCGCGTGCGCGTGCGCGTGCGCGTGCGCGTGCGCGTGCGCGTGCGCGTGCGTGTGCGCGTGCGTGCGCGCGTGCGTGCGCGCGTGCGTGCGTGCGTGCGTGCGTGCGTGCGTGCGTGTGCGTGTGCGTGTGCGTGTGCGCGTGCGCGTGCGCGTGCGCGTGCGCGTGCGCGTGCGCGTGCGCGTGCGCGTGCGCGTGCGCGTGCGCGTGCGCGTGCGCGTGCGCGTGCGTGCGTGCGTGCGTGTGCGCGTGTGGTGGGGGGGAGGGCCACTGCCCGCGCGCCAGGAGCCGGTGCCTGCAGCGCGGCTCCCTCGCCTGGCCCACTTCGCGCGAGGGCCGGCCAGGCTCGAAGCTCGGCCCTGCGCTCGCCAGGCCGCCATAATTATGGTGCTGCACGCTTCCAGCCCCCCCCCCCCCCCGGTCAAAGACGGGAGGCCCGCCGGCCAAGATCTCCCAGCCCCGCGCTGCTGCACTGCCCTGGAAGGCCCCTGGAGGACGGGCCGGGGCACGGACGAGAGCCATTGGCCACGGGCAATTCGATTGCAAGGGCGGTCGCTGCACTGCTGCTGGAAGGCCCTTCGAGGACGGGCCAGGGCAGGGGTGAAAGTCAGGGGCAGTACATTCCTGACGCACCCGTGGCCCCGCCATGCCGTATCCGTGGGAGGTTTGTCGATGACAGGCGCGGGCAACGATGCGAGCATGGACAATCGCGAGAATTCGAGGGCATCGGTGCTTCTGCAGCTGTGCGCGGTGGCTCCGCTGACAGATCCTGCTCCGAAGCGGCCGAGTATCACGGGGTGGGATACGGCGAGGGTATCGGACGAGGAACCCTGGGACAAGCAATCCAGGGTCTGGAAGCCAGTGGAACATCAATAGAAGCTTGGCTGTGGATACCACCGCCGCCCTCAACAGATAGGTCTGAAACCTCATGGGCACATTCCTTCAACCGACGCCCCCACAGCTATCCCTTCCAGGCACAACCAAGTCGCACCACGCGCCTTCTCGTCGAGCAGCCCGACCGTTGGTGGGCCACCCCACTGGCAGTTTGGTACCGTTTGATTCCCGTCTGGAAGCGAGCTTGATCAAAGGTGAGATCGGTTTTTGCCCAGCTCACAGTACGACTGCAGCGGCAAGAGCAAGGTGCGCGACAGGGGCACGCGCCAGATCTTGCCAGCCAGCACGGGCGTGATGATCATGCCGTCGGACCCGCAGTAGAAGCGATACGCCCCATCCGAAGCTCTCTCTACGAGCGCACGCGTTCAGGCGTGCGCTCACACAGCGAGCTTAGCACAGGTCCTCATTACTAGTTCGTTGCTCGCGCTTTTCGAGCTGACTTGTGGGTCGTTGGTCGGGTTGTTTGCGCGGTCGGGTTGTTGCGTTCTCTCCTCCTCCTCCTCCTCCTCCTCCTCCTCCTCCCCCTCCTCCTCCTCCTCCTCCTCCTCCTCCTCCCCCTCCTCCTCCTCCTCCTCCTCCTCCTCCTTGTTCGCGCACTGCCGTTGCGTCCGGCGTGTGCTGGACCACCGGTTGGACCCAACCCGCCGCCAGCCCAAGCGTTTGCGGGCTGCCTGCGTT